CAACCCTTCGGGTCAGATTCATTTTAAAACATCATGTCAAGAAGTTTTGTTTTCAGTTTAGTGATACAGTTTTAATATTGGCTATGTCATTGATGCCAAGAACATTCACAAGAATATATAAACTCTATGGTAATTTTTGCTTCAACTGCACAAAATTAATACATTTCCATATATTTTGAATATAGTGGAGTTTCTGTTGGAATATTAAAACAATACTGTGGGTTTGTGGTCATACATTAAAGGGGTTATCAATTCAAAGAATTTCTGAAGGCTTGTTAACCCTTTCACCGCCGTAGACCATCAATTGACTCATCCCCATAAATACACGATAGAGTCTATTAAAGTTCCCTATGGGTGAAAGGGTTAAGATGTGTTTTGACTGTGAACTGTTATGGTTATACAAGAGAGTCACACATATTATGTGGAGTTGGGACTGAATAATAAATTGATTTGGTTTAGAGATGCATTATACTACTATAAAGCGCGATTTTATTATACCCAATTTTAACAAGATTCTATTCTTATAACACATTTATCAAAGTTATTGTTTGTAGAAAAGAACTACTCCACAGTATCTATTCAACCATAATTACCAAATTATTATCATTTGTTTTTACAGAGTATAATGAGTTATTTTTAGATATTCCAGCACTTGGATATTGTCAATTACCTCACGCTTGTTTCTTCTGTAATAACGAAGCTAAGTTGGAGATTAGGTCTCTGACAGAAGCCTATATAAGGTTTACTGTGGAAATTAATCCTATGTGGTGTAAAATTCCTTCCTGCCAGCGGAAGTAGACACGGGGCAACATACATGGGTACTGCTCACAGAAGCACATACCTTATTGAAAATTTAATGAAATTCGCAGGTAAATATCAAATATCCTGTCTCAGGGTATGGTATTCAATCACAGGCAATCCACTTCAGTTTCAGCCCGATCTCTCAACATCTGTTGTATAAACTCTGTGTGTCTTGTTAATGTCAGTGGTTTTCTAGTATTTCTAGATAGCAAGTATGACTTTAGATATACTAGGTGTGTTTAAACCATTAATTACAGTTTGCGACTCATTTTACTCCTGATTTACTCTTTATGAGATATTCTATTTTTGTGTCAATAGATCTCACGTAAAGAAACATTATTGTGAAAACGTTTCATTACAAGACTACTGTCTTAGAGACCTTATTCTGAGAAATGCCTTCCAGCTGAATTTAACTTTAGATAACTTTGAAACAAGCTCATGTGACGCAACCAAAACTGGTACAGTTTTGACAGTTTTTCTGTGATATTGAGATTCCAAACCACCGATATATTACATTTCCTTTATTGGTACTTATGATCATGATCTAACTGAAATGGAATATTCATAATATTGTATTGAAAAATTAACCTGACTGGAAATCAATCGTGTTTTTTCTAACAATTTTTTTATGGTTTTGACAACAATGACATTTAGATATCAAAACGTCAACGAGAGTGTCTTAATTGTTACTGTACGTCATTTGCTGAAGTATATCTCTATGGTCTACGAATGAAATTTAAGACTTAATGGATAATTGAAATTTTTTTGACAATAAAACCTTTCTTTTGATATATTTTTAATTATTAAAAAAAAAATGTATTTTAATATTGTAAATGAGTCCATGAAAAGAATATGAATATCTGAATCACACACTGGTGCTTGCTTAGGTCAAGGTGCTGAAACTGTCCTTCTTAAACCAATACCACGTTTAAGATGAACATAATTTCATTTTAAGCATGCACTACACAGATAACCCCGCTCCCCATATATCTACAAAGTTTGAAGCCCATCCATGATACCATGTCTGAAATATGCTGCAGAAATTTGCAATCCCCTTTATTCTAAAACTTAAGACAGAGCTAAAGCTCAAATTGGACCTATATAAAAAGTTTGATGCCCATTCATGAAACAACTGTGGCTCAAATATGAAGTTGAAATGACAGTGACCTTGTTTTAGGATGTGACACACACACCAGTTCCCATATACAAAGTTTGATGCCCATTCGTGAAAAAAGTGGCTGAGATATATACTCCAGAAACAACATTCAGCAAAGATGCCTGGTCGCATGTACAGACAAAGCAAATACTACTGGGTAACATTCAGGAATAAATGAGTTCTGGGTAATATTCAGGGGCTACTGAGTTCTGGGTAATAATCAGGGGCTACTGAGTTCTGGGTAATAATCAGGGGCTACTAAGATCTGGGTAACATTGAGGGGCTACTGAGATCTGGGTTACATTCAGAGGTTACTGAGAGCTGGGTTACATTCAGAGGTTACTGAGAGCTGGGTTACTTTCAGAGGTTACTGAGAGCTGGGTTACATTCATGGGTTAAAATTAACAGGGACCTTCCAAGACACAAGATATTCATCATCAATTGTTAATGACACTTCTAAAAAATATCCGTCATTAAAGACACTTTTTAAAAACTTGCCACAGCCTTCAATGACAAGTCAAAGACATTTGTCAAAAACCATAACCAAGAGGCCTAATGGGCCTAAATCACTTGCCTGGTATTAATCTCACACCGGTAGCCTTAAAAGTGGACTTAATAAAGCTACAGGCAAAATATCAGTATCTATGACTCTTAGACATTCAAAAGAACATGTTAAAAGATTTAAACACATCTGACCCCTGTGCCCTTGAAAGTCATTCAATTGAACAAACTTTATAGCCCTTCATCCCAGCATGCAACTTGCTAAATATCACCAACCTAGACCTTTGTTTGCTGAGATGAGGTCATTTAAAGGTTTATTCACATTGACCATGTGACCTTGAAAGTGGGTCAAGGTCATTGACATGAGCAAACTTTATCGCTCTTTATCTGAGCATGCTACTGGCCATATATCACCACCCTACGCATTTGGTTATTCAGAAGAAGTTATTTAAATGTTTTCGACACATTTGATGCCTGTGACCTTTAATATTGGGGAAGGTCATTAATTTGGACAAACCTTCTAGCTCTTATTTGACCATGTAACTAGCCAAATATCATCATCCTAGGCCTTTTGGTTATTCTATTCAGACTAAGTTTGTTAATTGTAATCAGCACATTTTTTACTTCACACATTTAGCACACATTTTTGACATATTTCAACTCCAGTGACTTTGAATATGGGTGAAGATCATTCATTCAAACTTAACAGCTCTTAAACTGAGCATGTTATTGATCAAATTCCATCACCCTAGACATGTTGGTTATTCAGGGGAACTTGTTTAAACATTTCAATATATTCAAACCCTAGCTGTGAGCTATAATATGGGTGAAGGTCATTTATTTGAACAACTTGGTAAGCCTCTATCCAAGCAGGCAAAATATCGCCATTGCCATTTTGGTAATTCAGAAGATGTTTAAAATAACAAAAGATCCTATAAGGATTTTAGAACCAATCATAAAGGATATTTATCAGATCTACAAAACGATGATCTTTTACCTTCTTTGCTCTTCCATTTCCCTACAGGTACTTTCACCCTAGTGAGTCCCATGCTGGAAATTCTAAACAGGAATCTTGTACCATAACTTCAACCTCGTAATGTCATGTAATTTGCCACTATAGCAAATGATACCATTTAAGAATTGCATAACTACATGCAAAATGCCAACATTTTGCAATTTTTCAACATCAACCATCAAATCACACACTGTCACAAATTTATGTCTATATCACACACACTGTCACATCTTTATGTCTATATCACACACTGTCACATCTTTATGTCTATATCACACACTGTCACATCTGTATGTTTATATCACGCACTGTCACATCTGTATGTCTATATCATACACTGTCACATCTTTATGTCTATATCATACACTGTCACATCTTTATGTCTATATCACACACTGTCACATCTTTATGTCTATATCACATACTGTCACATCTTTATGTCTGTATCACACACTGTCACATCTTTATGTCTATATCACACACTGTCACATCTGTATGTCTATATCACACACTGTCACATCTTTATGTCTATATCATACACTGTCACATCTTCTGTCTATATCACACACTGTCACATCTTTATGTTTATATCACACACTGTCACATCTTTATGTCTGTATCACACACTGTCACATCTTTATGTCTATATCACACACGTCACATCTTTATGTCTATATCACACACTGTCACATCTTTATGTCTATATCACACACTGTCACATCTTTATGTCAATGTTTTTTTTTACAACATTTACCAGATAGACTGTTCCACTGTATTGTCATCAGCAATACAACACAGATGTATTACTGCTCGATTGAAATAATTCATTACTGGTGCCAGCCATAATGGGTGGCTGGGCTGACAATCTAATCATTATACATGTTGACGACACAATGGACACCGTGCCGATAACCAGCCGCAATAGATGTGTCATTCACTGCACATAAAGAGCAAATTTCGACACTTATAAAGTATGATGGCCCTTTATTCTTAAACTGTCATTGTTTAAATGACATCAGACAGGGATGCAACTGAACAATACCAATGTGTCTCACTTTTAAATGACATATTTTTCAGGTGTACACTGACAAGTACACATCGGTACATACTCATCAGTAAGGCCAGCTGGTAAATAAAGGTTGCTGATCTTTAAATAGCTGATAGCTTCTCGGCTGTTCAAGCTGTTCAAAGAAGCATCATCAAGTAAACGCTTGACTGCTGTTAATAAGTACTTATTGTGTGCGGAGCTAGCAATGCCCAATACAACTAAGTTATTACACATTTTGTGGTCCACTGAGTTCAGGCAATGCAACTATGGTTTCAGCTCCTCTCTGCTTCCGGGGCAAAACTGGATCTCAAGGATGAAGGTCTTTGATATGCCTATATGTATTAACAAAGCAGTATTGTTGGGCGGTGGGGCGACCCCAGTCCAAAGCAAAACATACGGAGTGATAACGCCAAGGACAATGGCATATGATATTGTATGTAAATAGTGTGAACAATGCCTGGTCGTGTTACGGCACTAACCTTGTGCTGTGGCGGGTCCATTCAGTCTCGGCGTCAAATAGATGGAGCTGTTTTACAGTGTCACAAACAGCCAGGTACCGGCCTGAAGGGGAGACGCTCGTAGCCAGGACATGCTCCTCATTTTTGGAAGGCGCTTTCTTCTCGATTGCATCTTCGTCCCTGGTACAAAGAACATGAGACAGTAATCCTGTGACAGTAGCTGTAGGATGGCAGACCAATGCCCCACATTATAGGCTGCAGTGTAGGAAAACAGCGGAGAATCCATCAATAAAATTGACTGAATCTCAACTAGCTTCTAGCGACCAGAACAGCAGAGAAACATAATTTCACAGACCATCTACTTGTAAAGTCAATAATTTCACCACAAAAATATTGATGGCTTTTCTGTTCCTATTCTACAGGGATTATACAATGCTATAGATCTAGAAGGGTAACGATCGTTTTCCCTAGTACAGATCTATATATGCCCTCCCCCCCCCCCCTTTCCCACAATATGCAATACTATGGATCTGTAAAAGTTACGATCATTCTCTTAGTACAAATCTATATCTAGCCCTGTGTGTCTTTCTCTCACAATAAACAATACTATGGATCTGTTGGGGTTGCAATTCTTCTCCTAGGTACATATCAATATTGAACCCGCCTCCCCCAACCTGCCCATTCCTTTCTCTCTATCCCACAATATACAATATATCATAATAGTTTAGATCTGTAGAGATTCTGTCTAAGTTGTAATATCTACCCTTAGTAATTATTACATGTCATCATATCATATATGAACGTTTCCGTATCCTACCTATATTAACGCAAGACCTACATATCAACCCAAATGGAAGGAGGCCCAAGGAAATAGTCACATCATAACCATTTTATCATATATTACACACTGTAAATGTTTTTCTCAAATGTGGTGAACCGGAAAGGAAAAGGATAGGGTGCATGCTGGGCAGATATGGCATGTATCAGGTGGAGATGAGTTGCTTCAGGATTTCGCCTATGCACAGCTAACTTATCACAAATGCAAAACAACCCATATAACAGACAAGGATATGATAATCCCTATCTATACCCCGTCCCCTCCCCTATCACATGGCCTTTAACAATACAGTGACCTTAAAAAATTAAATATGATATTTAACGATATGACTTTTATTAAATCAAAATGACCTTAAGTACATGTAATTAAATGACATCAGCAATTCAGGATGGCCTCAAGTAATCCAAAATGACATTCAGTGATTCAATATGACATTTAATAATTTAACATAACATTCAACAATTCAACAAGACATTCAACAATTCAACATAACATTCAACAATTCAACATGACATTCAATATGACATTCAACATAACATTAAATAACTCAACATAACATTACACAATTCAATATGACATTCAACAATTCAATATGACATTCAACAATTCAACATAACATTGAATAATTCAACATAACATTGAACAATTCAACATGACATTCAACAACTCAACATGACATTCAACATGACATTCAATATGATATTCAACAATTTAACATGACATTCAACAATTCAACATAACATTCAACAACTCAACATGACATTCAATATGATATTCAACAAGTTAACATGACATTCAACAATTCAACATAACATTCAACAACTCAACATGACATTCCATGATATTCAGCAATTCAATGTGACCTTAAGTAATCTTATATGGTGTTTAGTATTTCTGAATTATATTTAGCTATTCAATATGAGATTTTTTCATTACGAAATTTTCTTAATCATATTGTAACAACCATAACTACTTTGGATAATATTTTACAACTACCCAACATTTGTATCCCGATTTATCAGAATTTCATTCCAGTAAACTCCGTTTGATGCAAGTTATTTGGTGTCAAAAGCATCACCATTGATGGCAGGAAAGTTTGATAAAAAATGTAGAAAAGCGTGAAAGATAAAGGGAAAATGCTTGTGATATTATATTTGTTATGGGACTTGATGTCAAGAAAGTAAGGAGACCAAAAGTCAGATATTGTAAGAGTTTGGACAGAAAAAAATAGAACTGTCAGTCCTACTAATACCCCCAACCCAATTGATACTGATGTCTCAGTCAATCAGAAGCTAAAGTATCGACCTTGAATCCTGAAATTTACCAGTCTGCCTTTTAATATAAAGTATATCCTCTATGTATCAGTCTATAAAAGTATCAACAAAGATTACCCCATACTGCTCAAGTTATCTCAGCCAATCGTAGGCCATGGTGGCCATCTTGAATTCAGAAATTTAAAAAGTCAAACTTTTGTAACAAAGTATATCACCTATGTGTCAATCCCAGTAAGTTATACACTGTAGGGCCTTAACCTTGTTGCTGGTGGGTATAATTACTACAATCTTAGTACCGTAATTTCTTGTGTATAGCTAGCCCACTCCGTTACATAGCCCGCACTACCCAAAATAATGTTTATGAAAAGCATATTTTACAGATTGCCCAATCCGGTAGATTGCCTGCGGGTTATATCTACCACATAAAAGCTACTAATACTCAATGTATAACAAGTAAACCTATCATGGGAGTTTCCCTTGCTGTACTTACGCTACCCATGTCCGGTAGCTCCTACCTGTACTTCCCTGGGCATGTGATCACTTTTAATAAACAACACTAAGGATCTACTGGTGAGTTGAATTTACTTTATATATCTATGCTACACCAGAATATCCTTTCATCATTCTGATGCCATCTATCATGGCGTCTCCTGGAACACCACATAAATGAACCAGTAATTTAAATAGCAGTAGTCCTCATAATCCCCACCGACGAATTAGGCACAGAAAGCGGACAAGCTATACTGCCGAATTTAAGTTGGATGTTGTCAGCTATGCTGAGGAACACTGAAATCGGGAGGCTGGACGACATTTTTAAGTCAACAAAACTGTATGTCTTTCGTGTGTTTTTTGGCTATAATTGTGATGTATACGGTCTGTAACTTGACAAACATCACATAGCCGGCATTTTTTATGCTTTTTGAACACATTTCATCTGACAGCCCGCTTCATCAGATTTTTCAATGTTAAAAAATGCATAGCTCATGGACAATACACCTGAAATAATGGTATGTGATTTTGTGTTACTTAAGAGGAATCTTCAATATCCAAGTGACACCAGTCAATGGAGTAATTACCTCCGAAGCCTGATTAAAACAATACAATTTACAGAAAAACAAGAATATCCCAGATGCATCAGCAATTTGGTATACATATGTACAAGAATCGAAGAGTGTCTGTATAGCACACCATGATATTTAAGTAATCATTCTAAAATATTCCCATTAAAGAAATGCATATTAAAACCAAGTTCCCAGGGGTGGGGCCAGACCCCAGAGCCAATCCTGGTGGCCAATGTGTATCCAAATCTTCATGTTCAGCAATCCTTTAATTGTTATAGGTCGGAGATCACATCAATTTCCATATTAGGACCAGGCCACTAAGTTCTATAGGGAATGGGCAGACCCCCAAGACCAATCCTGGAGGCATATCTCTATTCCATTTTTTCATGCAAAGCAATTGTGTATGTGGTATTGGGTAGATATCTCATTCCTGGTAGCAATGGAGTGTATTCAAATCTTTGAGCTTGAGAAAATTAATTATTTTGTTATATGAGGGAATCTGAACAATTTTGTGTAATGACCATTTTGGGATTAAGTCCCAAAGAGCAGGGCAGACCAAGAGGCTAATTGCATATATAGTTAAAAGGTTAAGATCTCAACCATTTCAAAGTTATGACCCCTTTTTTCCCCTACCTTTCAGCCCCGAGGTGACCCCTACCATTTGTATTATTTTGAATCATCACACTTAAAGAAAGCTTCCAACTTAATATGGTTCAATTTCTTAGTTTAACAAAAGAGGGGTTAAATAATATAGGCAAAAAAATGACCCTTTTTTGGCCTTAAGCCTCAGCCTCCCAGGGTTCAACCCCTAGTTTAGCAAACTTTTAAATCCCCATAACCTAAGGATGCGTCCAGGCATTTGGTGAAATTCTGTCCAGCTGTTCTGATAAAGAAGTTGCCTGGAGAAATTGCTGACAGATGGACAATGCACACTGGTTCAGCATAAGTTCACCTTAGTCTTTTTTTATGAAGTTCCTATAACCTTTCATCGGAGCATTATATAACCTCCCACTTCCATCTGGAATCTAAGGAACTTAATATGCTGGTTCATATCAATTTCTTAGTTCAACCAAAGAAGGGTTAAGCAATTGTTTTCTTGACAGCTGGTATCACCTATAACAATAATAGCTGTACACCAGGGGCCCGCTCGACAGGTAAATAATTCAGTCAAATTGTTGACCTTGTTGCTTGATCCAGACAACACCTCTGGGTCTATCCAGTCTGATTCCCTAGATCAGTGCACACAAAGAAGAAGCAGTGTGGTCCACTTCTGGCTTGCCATGGAAGGTAAGCACACTGGTATACAAAGTGTAATATCAATCAACAGTGTTCGGGGAACTCATGATAAGTAAGTCTTGGCCTGGATCAACCTCCCTGCTGATACATGTATGCCACTTACAGAAGATTGGTAGACGACAGAAAAGATGGACTGGATTTATTAGGTGGTACAATCCAGCTCATCCCCAGAAAACAGACCCCAATAAAATAATAAATATCAATTTGTTTTACATTCAGGAACATAAGGAACCCTTTTTCTAGAGCCAACTTAGTAAAACTGAGCATAGGTATGAGGTAGGCATAGTGATGGTGATTCATCTCTATCTATAGTGTGTACCAGTATTGTGTATCTGATATGTGTATCGTATGAATAATTAATAATTATGACATAGTGCACTCATTGAACTTACATGCAGTTTCTATCATCTATTTGATTATAAATATTTAAATGCACTTTTAGTCAGGTATCACGTTAAAAAATCTTACCGTATCTGACCTAATAAGTGCTCCTGCTATAATAACGGCATCCCAAGGATTTAAAATAAACAAAAGCACCCCAAGGGATTTCAAAATATATAAAGGTACCCTTATGTACATTTACACCCAGCATTCTTTTCAGGTCAAATATCTTGAAGTTCACTATTATTTTCAATATATCTATATTTACCTTTATCATTATTTTCACTATCTCTAAATTTAATCTATATTCTCTAACTCTATATCTCATAT